GTCCACCTGCGGGGTGTACGTACACCTGCGGGGTGTACGTACACCCGGGAGAAAACCCACCTGGTCGAGTTCTCCGTAAGGAATTGATTGAATAAATAAATCAAAGAGAAGACAACTTTCTCCGTCTCCAGAAAGCACCAAGTGAAACGCAGCGTCGTCCGCTGAAACAAACCCCAAACCCTAAACCCTAAACCCTAAACCCTAAACCCTAAATCCGAAGGAAAACGTAGGCGCTGCAGCTGAACACCTCCAGCAATAAAACCCCTAACCTTAAACCCTCAACCCTAATCCCTAGAGGTGCCCCAGTGCCTCTCCTGTGCACTCAACAATCCCACAAGCCCTAAACCCTAAACCCTAAACCCTAAACCCTAAACCCTACGTGATGGCCTCAGCCTGTAGATGCGCTCTCGGTGTCCTCCCCCCACCGTCCAGTCGTGAAGAGCTTCTACATTTTGGGCTGCGCCGTCTTGCAGCTGCAGCAGCCCCGCAAACAAGCCTTTAGGGTTTAGGGTTTAGGGTTTAGGGTTTAGTAGGGTTTTAGGGTTTAGGGGCCTACCGCCATGCCGATGCTGCGAGTCTGGTCCTCAACGAAGGTGCCGACTTTGATCAGCAAGTCCTTGCCTGCAAATAATCCCAAGGACTCCAAGGGTTTAGGGTTTAGGGTTTAGGGTTTGCTGCTGAGGGTCTGGTGTAGCAGCAGCAGCAGCAGCTGCTGCTGCTCGAGCAGCCAAGCCCTGAGGGCTCTCCCCCGAGGCCCTCCAGCCCACAACCAGGCCAACAGCCCACAGCCAAGGGCTTAGGGTTTAGGGTTTAGGGTTTAGGGTTTAGGGTTTACCGTGGGTCTTGATGGCTATGCGGTGGTTTGCTGCGTTGCCGCTGTGCAGAACGGCTTTGGTTCGAATCACAGCGCGGCCGTCGCTGTCTAGGGGCCCCCCTAATAAATAAATAAATAAATAAATAAATAAATAAATTAGAAATAAATAAATAAACAGTAAATGGAGTGTAGTTATTGATTGGAGCACTCGAAGCGAAAGATCCACACAGCAGGCATTCGCAGCGAAACAGCAGCAGCAGCAGCAGCAGCAGCAGCAAAGCAGCAGCAAGAGCGACAAACCAGCAGCAGCAGCAGCAAAGCAGCAGCATTAGCACCAGCGAAGCATCAGCAGCAGCAGCACGCTCAAAACACCAGCAGCAGCAGCAGCAGCAGCACCCCCCAAG